CTGTGAGTTAGAGGTCAGCCTTGTCTACAAATCGAGTTACAGGACAACCAGAATTGGTACACAGAGAAACCCTGTCTCGAAAACCAAAAGTAAACAGAAGGCCTTGAAAGCATATATATATATATGGTGGAGAATTGATTGGCTGAGATATCCTGAAGGAAGGGTTGTCAAAATTGTCTAAGAGCTAAAGAGACCCAACCCTGCTGAGCTTCTGACTTCAGCCAAGATTGGGTGCATTTAGACCAGTAGTTCTCAGCCTTCCTAACACTGCAACCCTTTAATACGGTTCCTCATGATATGGTGACCTCCAACCATAAAATTATTTTCATTGCAACTTTGTAATTTTGCTACTGTTACAAATCATACTGAATGTAGGTGTCTGTGATGTCTTCCCTATGGGAAGGTCGTCTGACTCCCACCAAAGGCATCCTGACACTCAGGTTGAGAACCACTGTAATGGCCATAGTCACATTTTCAGGATCCCAGCCCTGAGGAGGCTGAGGCAGCTGCTGCAAAGTCAAGACAAGGCTAAGCTACACAGTGAAAACTTGTCTAGAAAAAAAAATAAAATAAAATTTAATGATAAACTCAACTGGGAAAGAAATGTACTACCGGGGATGCTAGAGAGATGACTCAGATGATAAGAACAGACTGTTCTTCCAGAGAACCAGAGTTCTGTTCCCAGCACCTACATGGACGCTCATAACCCCCTATAAACAACCTGGTCCAGAGGATATGATGCCACAGTCTTCTGACCTCTGTAGGCACTGTATGTCCATGGTGTACATATATACATACAGACAAAACTCCACATACAATAAATAAAAATAATAAAAATAAAATCTAAAATAATTTTTAAAAGAAATATACTATCATATGACAGTGATAACCTGCCCAATGGAGGGACGGCGACTTCTGGAGTACAATTCTGAAAGACTGAGATAAAACTGGCAGGGTGTGATGACACACAATTTTAGTTCCAGCATTTGGGAAGCAGAGACAGGAGAATCTCTTCAAGTTGAAGGCCAAGCTGGTCTACAAGCTGGTTTGGCCAAATCCAAACCAGACAGGGCTACTCAACAAGACTCTGTCTCAAAAGAACATTTCTTTCCCCTGAAGACTCCAAAATACAAAAAGAAGAAAAAGAATAAGTAAACCTTTTGGTAAAGAATACACATGAACACACACAGACACACACACAGACACACAGACACACACACACATACATGCTTGATCCTAATCCTGTAGTTTAGTTTAGATATAAATAATATAAAGATAACATATAAACTATTCACCAGCATAACATTAAGTTCAGAAAATAAAGCTCTGCTTTAAAAATAAAAAACTGACTGGGGACAGTGAACTTAAAGACAAGAGCAGCTCTTCCTGACTGCCATTGCCTTGCTGCTGAAAGCCACTCGGAGGCCACAGCATACGGAGCCAGTGTTTCACACCCAGGAGAAGGGCATCACACCGCAAGGACTTCCACAGATCTTTTCCACCTCTGTCCCGAGAAGGAGAGGAGCAACAGCCACCCTGTCACTCTGCTTTCTGGCCCTCAACACTCACCCATGTACGGCTGAGTCACAGTGCTTGAGAAGGAACTTCAAGTCCAAATACCCTGCCGCCCAGCCTGACTGCTAATATTCACACTCCTCAAGAACCTTCTTCTCCTGCTGATTTAGGGGTGGCTCGGAGAATCCTAGTCACCTCACCTTGTACATGAGAACAAGCACCACCCCAGAGAGAGTGAGAGATTGTTGTATGCCAGTGTGTATGTGTATGCACGTGTGAGTGTTATATGTGTAAGTGTATATTCTGATTATAAGCATCTAATATTTTAAAACTATGATGAATAGCCTGGACTATGTAATCAGACCCTGTTACGGACAGGGAAGGGAAAGGGGAAGAGGGGGAAGGGAAGGAATGTCACATGGTGTTGGATTGCTTTCTGCTTGCTCACTTTGAGAGCTCTCATTTACCACAGTGGCACAGGTACTTCTCAGTGTTTGTTTACAGTCACTGAAAAGTCAAAAGGCCAGTGCACTCTGCTCTGACCAGCCCATCATCTGCATCCCTGACTTAAAGATTGTACTCGTGTTACATTTGTAGCAAAGCAAAATATTCCAAAGCGTGTTTGTGATAGGCAGAATAACAGGCTCCAATGTGACAACATTTCTTCTGTGTAACTCCGAGATTATGTTACTGTCATAGAAGGCAGGCATGGTGGCTTGGGCCTGTAACACAGTACTTTAGAGGTGGTGACATAAACATTTTTAGGGAACCAGACGGTGGTGGTGCACGCCTTTAATCCCAGCACTTGGGAGGCAGAGGCAGGCGGATTTCTGAGTTCAAGGCCAGCCTGGTCTACAGAGTGGGTTCCAGGACAGCCCGGGCTATACAGAGAAACCCTGTCTCGAAAAACCAAAAATAATAGCCAGGCGGTGGTGGTGCACACCTTTAACCTCAGCGCTCAGCAGGCAGAGGCAGGCGGGTCTCCGAGTCTGAGGCCAGGCTGGTCTACAGAGTGCGTTCCTGGACAGCCAGGGCTACAAAGAGAAACCCCCTGTCTCAAAAATCAAAAGAGGAAGGGGAGGAGGAAGAAGGGGAGAAGGAAGAAGGGGAGGAGGAAGAAAAAGGGGATGAGGAGGAAGAAGAGGAGAAAGAACCAACAGTAACAAAGGATAGTGAACTGTGACAATATTTTCTTGTTTTGCACAGAATGAGCTATAGTCATTTGAAAACATGGAACTGAAGGACAGCAGGAGCTACTGGAAAAGCTGGAGACACTATATGCTTGTTTTTCAAGGGAATAAAAGATAGTTTATTCTGAAGTCATTCTGTGTGACCAAGGCCTGGGAACACAGATTCAGGCTACCCCAAATTCCATGTTCCAACATGGAAGGAAACTCTATATTTCATCAAGTGAGACACGGACGCGTTTGTACTGCTCAGTCCCCTTCTATCAAACAGATCCGAGAAGAGTAGTGCCCCATCCAGTTCCTACCCAGCCCAGCGTTCCCCTGCAGTGCACTCAAACTGTTCCTCCACAAAGATAAATAAAATCTAAAAGGGTGCCAACTTTTAAAAGCAAAGTCCCTCTAGATATTGATGACATTGAGAAGTTTGCATTGTAAGTTTGCCGGTGCTATAGTATAGATATTAAAAGAAGAGTGACAGACACCAACCTCCTGCAGGTATTACTGAAAAGCTACATTTAGCGATTAGTTTAAGATAATCATGAGGGAGAATGGGCATTCGTAGGAAGGCAGGTAGAACTAAACTGGATTCACTGGAACTGGGAATGGTACCTGGGAATACATTATCTTACTTCAATATTTGTACTTTTTTTCTTCCTCATGATGCTGAGGAACAAACCCAGGGCCTTGTGCATGCCTGGCAAGGAGTCTACTTTTTTTTTTTTTTTTTTTTGGTTTTTTGAGACAAGGTTTCTCTGTGGAGCCCTGGTTGTCCTGGAACTCACTCTTGACCAGGCTGGCCTCGAACTCAGAAATCCGCCTGCCTCCCAAGTGCTGGGATCAAAGGTGTGTGCCACCACCGCCCGGCAGGATTCTACTTCTGAGTTATACTTATTCTGAGTGGTTCTCAACCTGTGGCTCGGTCACATGACCCTTTCCCAAGGGTCACCTAAGACCATCAGACAACACAGATATTTATATTACGATTCATAACAGTAGCAAAATTACAGTTATGAAGTAGCAATGAAAATAATTTTATGGTTGGGTCTCTACAACATTAGAAACTGTATTAAAGGGTTGTAGCATTAGGAAGGTTGAGAACCACTGCTCCAGACTGTCTGAACCTTTCCACAAAGCAACAAGACCTTACCAAACCAAATACAGACTGTTTAACATAAATATTCTAACACAAACTTTATTTTGTTTATTAAGACAAGGTTTTTCTGTATAGCTCTGGCTGTCCTGGAACTCACTCTGTATACCAGGCTGGCCTCGAACTCACAGCTACTTACTAATTTTGGGAGCTTAAACAAGTACCCCCAACCTCTAAAAGGCCGGTTCTTCATTTTCTAAATGGAGATATTCACCCTTGTCCAGTTTCTCTGAGTTGCCATGAAGATTATCTAAAATAAAAACTCCAGAGCAGGATAGTCGTTCTAGAAACCCATGAACTTCATCCTCTGCAGCAACCTATTTCTACAAAGTGCCTTCCACGACTGAGTCCTCAACTCAGGCACAAGCACCTGGTTCTGGGAAGGCTACACAGCTCCCCACCAACCCCACTCCCATTTCCTCATCTCCCTACCCAGAACCTCCTCTCTACACCTTCAAGGATTCCACTTCCTCCATCCCTAATCAGGGTAGGGCTTCGCTAGCCCTGTCACAACCATCCCGTCGCTGTTGTCCAGGACTTTCTTCCACCTGCTCCATCGCTCTCCTTCCCTCATACCCAATGTGGCCCTTTTCATTCTTCAGCTGACACCCAATGACTCAAGCAAATCCACTAAGGCAAAAAATAAACCAATGGTGGCAGGCCGTGAAGGAGGGAGTAGGAGCGGTTGCAAATGGGTACAGACCTCTTTCGAGGAGATAAAAATGTTGAGGGATTGCTGTAAGGAGGCATGATCATGTGAACAGACTGAAAGCTAGTGAGCTGTACTTCAAGGGGTACTTGTATTTTTACAGTATAGAATGATATCGCAATAAAAACGTGTGTGTCAGACACGCAACACACTACGGCTCGCCCGGCCCATCACACGCCCATCTGTCCAGCCAACCTCGGCTGTCCCGAGTGTCCGGAAGCTCTAGCCGTTCCGGCAACCCCTAGGTCCCGGCGGGCCGGCCAGGGGTCCGGTTCACTTGGTTCTGCACACCCGGGCGCCGAGGGGACGGGCAGACGAGGCCCGCCGAGCTCTGCACCGCTCCGGGCGGCCCAACCTTCCAGGACCGCAGCCCTCCGGCGCGCGGCCGGTCACCTCCGACTCAGACCCCGCGGGGCGGTGCCGCGCCGGGGAAGCCCACCTGTGTCAGCGGCGCGGACTCCGCTTCCAGCCGCGGCGGGCAGGCAGCAAGGAAGCGGGAGCGCGGGCGCACAGGGGCCCGGGTGTGCACGCCGGCTTAGGCCTCCATGGTTCCGTAGATCAGCGGCTCCGGCTCCGACCGCGCTCCGGCCCCAGCGGCTGTCGGTGCGGAGACGCAGGAGCTGGGGTGAGAAGAGGGAAGCGACGGAGGACGCGGCTGGGGACCGAACGGCTAAGCGCGCGCCAGCAGCGGGCGGTCCCGTGGCACGCCGAGCGCGCGTGCTTCTGGGAAATGTAGTCCTTCCGGCGTTTCATCGTCCCAGCGTCTCCCGGGCAACCACATAGCCACGTGGCAAAGTGTAGAAACCAAAAACTCTAGGCTCCTGGGACTGACTGAGAGCGCCTGCACTGTTGACTTAATTGAGATTAACGTGCCTGTTAATTCCTGCAGGATAATCACAGTCTTTTATGGGCTTTCTCGAATTAAAAAATAGAATATTTTTAACAGAAAGATCTACTAGACCCTTTAGCAATATAATCAGAAGTAGTCCCATCAGAATGAAAATCAATACTGCTTAGCGTCAAAAGTATGGTATTTACCTGAGAGGCTAAAGGAGGATTGTTCAGAGTTCAAGGTCAGTATGGGCTGCATAATAAATCACAAGCCAGCCACAGCTGCATAGCAAGACCCTGTCCCAAACAAAAAACTATGGAATTTGAGCCGGACTGTGGTGGTGGCCCACGCCTTGAATCCCAGCATTTGGGAGGCAGAGGCAGGCGGATTTCTGAGTTCGAGGCCTGCCTGGTCTACAGAGTGAGTTCCAGGACAGCCAAGGCTATACATAGAAACCCTGTCTCGAAAAACCAAAACCAACCAAACAAACAAACAAAAAAAACCTATGGAATATGAGCCCGTAATCTAAGTACTCAGACGGCAAAGGCCATTCTACTATATAGGGGGCCAGCCTGACTACATGAAACATTGTCTTATAGAAAAATACAGAGGTTTGAAGTCAAATGACCTGAGGTCGCCAAATTAATACCCTTGAGTATTTACCACTCCTCATCTAAAATACTTGCAAATTGAGGCCCTTATGGTAATAACATTTCACATTATGGACTATTTCCTATGTGCTATATGATATTGTGTTGATTTTTCCAAATAACCCTATGAGACAGTGATCACTATTTCCTTTATTATATAATCACCATGTGCCAATGTTCTCTGCCAAGTGAGGTATAAATATTACTTTACTTTTACATTTATTGGAAGAAGAATGTGCATGCCACAGCACAAATGTAGAAAATGGAGCACAGCTTGTAGAAGCCACTTGTCTCCGTCTATCCAGATGGATCCCATAATGGACTCGGCTCACTGGCATTGATAGCAAGCACCTTTTCCCACTGAGCCATTTTTCCAGCCTAGACATTTTGTTTTTTTCCAATATCAATTGCCAGTAAAATCACTGAGCTTGTAGCAGAACAACAAAGCAAACTAAAACACAAGGTGCCTGGGGAGCTAGCTAAAAATAGGAAGGCACTTTACAAGTAAAGGATGGTATAGATGCCTACTTATGTGAAAACATGTTTGTGAAGGTAGACATCATGATTCACACCTGTAATCCTAACAGTTGAGACGTGGAGTGTGTTGGTTCGTATGTTTGGCCCAGGGAGTGGCACTATTAAGAGGTGTGGCTTTGTTGGAGTGGGTGTGTCACTGTGAGTGTGTCACTGTAGGTGTGGGCTTAAGACCCTCATCCTAGCTGCCTGGAAGCCAGTCTTCTGCTAGCAGCCTTCAAATGAAGATGAAGAACTCTTAGCTCCTCCTGCAGCATGCCTACCTGAATACTGCCATGTTCCCGCCTTGATAATAATGGACAGAACCTCTAAATCTGTAAGCCAGCCTCAATTAAATGTTGTCCTTATAAAAGTTGCCTCAGTCATGGTGTCTCTTCACAGCAGTAAAACCCTAACTGGAGTCAAGAATTCGACATCAGACTAGAGAGATGGCTCAGAGGTTAAGAGAGCTGGCTGCTCTTCCAGAGGTTCTGAATTCAATTCCTAGCAACCACATGGAAACATATAACCATCTATAATAAGATCTGGTGTCAGCCAGGCAGTGGTGGCACAGGCCTTTAATCCCAGCTTTTGGGAGGCAGAGGCAGGCAGATTTCTGAGTTCGAGGCCAGCCTGGTCTACAGAGTGAGTTCCAGGACAGCCAGGGCTATACAGAGAAACCCTGTCTTGAAAAACCAAAAAAAAAAAAAAAAAATCTGGTGCCTTCTTCTGGCCTGCAGGCATACATGCAGGCAGAACACTGTATTCAGAATAAATAAATCTTTTTTTTTAAATAAATCTTTAGGAAGGAAGGAAGAAACAAAGGAAGGAAGGGACAAAGGAAGGAAGAAAAGAAGGAAGGAAGGAAAGAAGGAAGGAAGGAAGGAAGGAAGGAAGGAAGGAAGGAAGGAAGGGAATTCAAGATCATCCTTGGAGATGTAGCAAGTTTAAGGCCAGCCCGGACTACATGACACTTTGTCCTAGAATACCAAAAACTAGGGGTGGGGTGCTGTCTCAGTGATGAAGTGCTAGTATGTGTGAGGAATCCCAGAACTCATGTAAGGCTGTGTGAAGTAGCACATGTATGTAATCACAGTACTTGAAGGGTGAAGTGGGGTTGGGGGTGGAGATACAGAATCCCTGGAAGCACTTTCACTAGCTAACATGGAACACACAATAGCAAACAAGAGACCCTTTCTCAAACAAGATGGAAGGCAAAGACATCCAAGGTTGTCCTATGACCTCTACACACCATACCATGCACTTACCTGAAATCATACACACCAACACATGCTCACACATCATACACTCAAACACAAAGATCATGGAGAAAGAGGAGAAAGAGAGGTGGATACAAAAGGAAAAGCAGGAGGAAAGCAGGATATGGTGACTCCTATCTGTTTCCCTATCCAGCCAGGATGCAAAGAGAAGGGATGTCAACTGTATGTCCAGCCGGGTGGTGGTGCTTCATACCTTTAATCCCAGCACGGAGGAGGCAGAGGCAGGCAGTTCTCTGAGTTTTCAAGACCAGCTTGGTCTACAGAGTGAGCTCCAGGACAGCCAGGGATACACAAAGAAACTCTGTCTCAAACAAAAAAGAAAAGAAAAAAAAAGAAAGGAAGGAAGGAAAAAGAAAGAAAAGAGAAAGGAAAAAAGAAACAAAGAAAAAAGAAAAGAAAGAAGTAAAGAAAAACAGTGTTTGCTTCAACCTTTGGAATGGTGCCAACTACATTCCCATCAAGTCTTCAGTTAATCTTCTCCTGGTAATCCGAGGCTCAGTTAATCCTCTCCAGAAACACCTGAATAGACATACACAGGGGCATGTCTCAATCTTCTAGGTGATTCTTAGTCAAGCCAAATAGGCAAAGATAATAAACAATCAAGAATTGTTTGCATTGTGCTCTAGACTTGGTCTTGACCACTTTACTTACACACACACACACACACACACCACAACTAAAGTGCTCAGTTACCATGAAGGAAAACAACAGCTGGCATAGCTTAGGTCCAGCCACAAAGAAATGGCTTTTGGACAAATTGATTTTGAAAATTAACTAGTTGAAATTTGCAGATTCACCAGCATCTTCAGAGTAGAATTTGCATCTGAAGATATAAAGGTACATTCCCTCTGGTATTAAAGCAAAACTCATTGGAACCAACACAAAGTTATTTCAAAAGCAATACTGAATACCATGGCAGCCTTTCAGGAAAAATTTCCTGTGGGACTGCATAAGGGTATCCTGGGTCATGGTTGAGCAGGTACTTAGAACCCCGAGATTCTCTGTGGAATTCCTCATGAGAACCGGCAGGAGTTCGGTCCCTCCCATCACCTAAGATCCTGAAAAACAGTCACAGATCTCCATAGAGTCACCCAGGCGATAGGCCTCAGGCCTTAGAGATTTACATACTAATGAAGGCCAGAGGGCAGAGCAAATTAAACATTCCTCCCCCAGATCCTCCCCCTTTCTCCCTCCCTATATAACTCGGGACGGCCCTGAGTTTTTGGGGGGTACGCCTAGATCCATCTATTATCCGTCATGTCAATAAACCTTTTTGGAACCAAGGACTTCCTCGTGTTACTGGGGCCTGCCGCCGCCAAGGCACTCAGGCTGCTGGAACCGTAGGATCTCCCTCCCTGATGTGGGGACCCGCCACGGCGGCGGGCTTGCGCCGCTGTGGCGGCCTTTTTAAAATTTTCCCCACAATTTCCAAAGTCATTACCTTGGCTTTGAACTCATGGGAATGTTTACCACATTTACCTAGCTGACACTATGCAGACACCATGACTTTTGTGAGTGTGTTTTGTATGACAGCTGTCATGCTTTTTAACTTACTGAGGTTTAACTTGTGAGTTCAGGCCTATATGTTGGTTCTGGAGAGAGCATGCATTTGAAGAAATTCTGTTACAAAGACAGCTCAGCGCGTAGTTCAAGTCGCCCACATCCTATCTGGTTGTTCTGTCCATGGTAGATGGTGGGGTTTGCTGGTTTGTGGTGCTGGAGATTCAGTACATGCTAGGCAAACGCCACAGCGCTAAGCTCCATCCTCAGCACCTGGATGCTGGGGTCTAGTGCCTCTAGCTCTTATTACAGGACATCGATCTGTGCTCTGGGTTTGTCAGTAGTTGCTTCAGATCTATTGATCATCTATTATTAGATACGATCAAGTAATTTCTTGTAATATCCGCTTATCTTCAAAATATATGTTTTTCTCCTAGAGGCAGAGGTAGAATTGAAAGCTGAAAGCCAACTGTGGTTAGTGGCAAACAATTGTAATGCCAGCATTTGGGAGTTGGAGGAAGAACTGGGAGTTCAAAGTTCAAATTCTCAGCTAGCGACAAAGCCAGGTTAGGCTTCTTAAGACCCCGACTCAACAAAAGAAAAACAAAACAAAACAAAAACCAGCCACAAGACCAAAAAGCAAAGACCTTTTACTTCTTTTCCTGTGCCTTACATTCCTAATACTAGCGCATAAACAAGTGCATTCTAAGTTTTTATTGTGCGAGTAACACCCAGCTGTCCTTTTCTTTCCTTTTGCTATGTCACAATACTCTGACAACAACTTAGAGGAAACTAGGAATGCTCAAAGGTGGAGCACATCTATAACTCCAGCTTGCTTATGTGAATGTGCAATGCTCTGGGTGCAATCCTGAAGCCTGCAAA